ATGAAATGGTGTTTCCTAGTAGATTTAATTTTATAGTTACTATTCTTCGGAAAGTTTAATTCTATTTAGTATAATATTCATACTTAAAAGCGTTTTCCAATAAATAAATATATAATTATATTGATACTCAAAAGTGTTCCCCAATAGATAAATATATAAAAGCTGTTCAATATTACATACAATTGTATGAAATGGTGTTTCCTAGTAGATTTAATTTTATAGTTACTATTCTTCGGAAAGTTTAATTCTATTTAGTATAATATTCATACTTAAAAGCGTTTTCCAATAAATAAATATATAATTATATTGATACTTAAAAGTGTTCCCCAATAGATAAATATATAAAAGCTGTTCAATATTACATACAATTGTATGAAATGGTGTTTCCTAGTAGATTTAATTTTATAGTTACTATTCTTCGGAAAGTTTAATTCTATTTAGTATAATATTCATACTTAAAAGCGTTTTCCAATAAATAAATATATAATTATATTGATACTTAAAAGTGTTCCCCAATAGATAAATAGATAAATATATAAAAGCTGTTCAATATTTCATACAATTGTATGAAATGGTGTTTCCTAGTAGATTTAATTTTATAGTTACTATTCTTCGGAAAGTTTAATTCTATTTAGTATAATATTCATACTTAAAAGCGTTTTCCAATAAATAAATATATAATTATATTGATACTTAAAAGTGTTTCCCAATAGATAAATAGATAAATATATAAAAGCTGTTCAATATTACATACAATTGTATGAAATGGTGTTTCCTAGTAGATTTAATTTTATAGTTACTATTCTTCGGAAAGTTTAATTCTATTTAGTATAATATTCATACTTAAAAGCGTTTTCCAATAAATAAATATATAATTATATTGATACTTAAAAGTGTTTCCCAATAGATAAATAGATAAATATATAAAAGCTGTTCAATATTACATACAATTGTATGAAAGGGTGTTTCCTAGTAGATTTAATTTTATAGTTACTATTCTTCGGAAAGTTTAATTCTATTTAGTATAATATTCATACTTAAAAGCGTTTTCCAATAAATAAATATATAATTATATTGATACTTAAAAGTGTTCCCCAATAGATAAATAGATAAATATATAAAAGGTGTTCAATATTACATACAATTGTATGAAATGGTGTTTCCTAGTAGATTTAATTTTATAGTTACTATTCTTCGGAAAGTTTAATTCTATTTAGTATAATATTCATACTTAAAAGCGTTTTCCAATAAATAAATATATAATTATATTGATACTTAAAAGTGTTCCCCAATAGATAAATAGATAAATATATAAAAGGTGTTCAATATTGCATACAATTGTATGAAATGGTGTTTCCTAGTAGATTTAATTTTATAGTTACTATTCTTCGGAAAGTTTAATTCTATTTAGTATAATATTCATACTTAAAAGCGTTTTCCAATAAATAAATATATAATTATATTGATACTTAAAAGTGTTCCCCAATAGATAAATAGATAAATATATAAAAGCTGTTCAATATTACATACAATTGTATGAAATGGTGTTTCCTAGTAGATTTAATTTTATAGTTACTATTCTTCGGAAAGTTTAATTCTATTTAGTATAATATTCATACTTAAAAGCGTTTTCCAATAAATAAATATATAATTATATTGATACTTAAAAGTGTTCCCCAATAGATAAATAGATAAATATATAAAAGCTGTTCAATATTACATACAATTGTATGAAATGGTGTTTCCTAGTAGATTTAATTTTATAGTTACTATTCTTCGGAAAGTTTAATTCTATTTAGTATAATATTCATACTTAAAAGAGTTTTCCAATAAATAAATATATAATTATATTGATACTTAAAAGTGTTCCCCAATAGATAAATAGATAAATATATAAAAGCTGTTCAATATTACATACAATTGTATGAAATGGTGTTTCCTAGTAGATTTAATTTTATAGTTACTATTCTTCGGAAAGTTTAATTCTATTTAGTATAATATTCATACTTAAAAGCGTTTTCCAATAAATAAATATATAATTATATTGATACTTAAAAGTGTTCCCCAATAGATAAATATATAAAAGCTGTTCAATATTACATACAATTGTATGAAATGGTGTTTCCTAGTAGATTTAATTTTATAGTTACTATTCTTCGGAAAGTTTAATTCTATTTAGTATAATATTCATACTTAAAAGCGTTTTCCAATAAATAAATATATAATTATATTGATACTTAAAAGTGTTCCCCAATAGATAAATAGATAAATATATAAAAGCTGTTCAATATTACATACAATTGTATGAAATGGTGTTTCCTAGTAGATTTAATTTTATAGTTACTATTCTTCGGAAAGTTTAATTCTATTTAGTATAATATTCATACTTAAAAGCGTTTTCCAATAAATAAATATATAATTATATTGATACTTAAAAGTGTTCCCCAATAGATAAATAGATAAATATATAAAAGCTGTTCAATATTTCATACAATTGTATGAAATGGTGTTTCCTAGTAGATTTAATTTTATAGTTACTATTCTTCGGAAAGTTTAATTCTATTTAGTATAATATTCATACTTAAAAGCGTTTTCCAATAAATAAATATATAATTATATTGATACTTAAAAGTGTTCCCCAATAGATAAATAGATAAATATATAAAAGCTGTTCAATATTACATACAATTGTATGAAATGGTGTTTCCTAGTAGATTTAATTTTATAGTTACTATTCTTCGGAAAGTTTAATTCTATTTAGTATAATATTCATACTTAAAAGCGTTTTCCAATAAATAAATATATAATTATATTGATACTTAAAAGTGTTTCCCAATAGATAAATAGATAAATATATAAAAGCTGTTCAATATTACATACAATTGTATGAAATGGTGTTTCCTAGTAGATTTAATTTTATAGTTACTATTCTTCGGAAAGTTTAATTCTATTTAGTATAATATTCATACTTAAAAGCGTTTTCCAATAAATAAATATATAATTATATTGATACTCAAAAGTGTTCCCCAATAGATAAATATATAAAAGCTGTTCAATATTACATACAATTGTATGAAATGGTGTTTCCTAGTAGATTTAATTTTATAGTTACTATTCTTCGGAAAGTTTAATTCTATTTAGTATAATATTCATACTTAAAAGCGTTTTCCAATAAATAAATATATAATTATATTGATACTTAAAAGTGTTCCCCAATAGATAAATATATAAAAGCTGTTCAATATTACATACAATTGTATGAAATGGTGTTTCCTAGTAGATTTAATTTTATAGTTACTATTCTTCGGAAAGTTTAATTCTATTTAGTATAATATTCATACTTAAAAGCGTTTTCCAATAAATAAATATATAATTATATTGATACTTAAAAGTGTTCCCCAATAGATAAATAGATAAATATATAAAAGCTGTTCAATATTTCATACAATTGTATGAAATGGTGTTTCCTAGTAGATTTAATTTTATAGTTACTATTCTTCGGAAAGTTTAATTCTATTTAGTATAATATTCATACTTAAAAGCGTTTTCCAATAAATAAATATATAATTATATTGATACTTAAAAGTGTTTCCCAATAGATAAATAGATAAATATATAAAAGCTGTTCAATATTACATACAATTGTATGAAATGGTGTTTCCTAGTAGATTTAATTTTATAGTTACTATTCTTCGGAAAGTTTAATTCTATTTAGTATAATATTCATACTTAAAAGCGTTTTCCAATAAATAAATATATAATTATATTGATACTTAAAAGTGTTTCCCAATAGATAAATAGATAAATATATAAAAGCTGTTCAATATTACATACAATTGTATGAAAGGGTGTTTCCTAGTAGATTTAATTTTATAGTTACTATTCTTCGGAAAGTTTAATTCTATTTAGTATAATATTCATACTTAAAAGCGTTTTCCAATAAATAAATATATAATTATATTGATACTTAAAAGTGTTCCCCAATAGATAAATAGATAAATATATAAAAGGTGTTCAATATTACATACAATTGTATGAAATGGTGTTTCCTAGTAGATTTAATTTTATAGTTACTATTCTTCGGAAAGTTTAATTCTATTTAGTATAATATTCATACTTAAAAGCGTTTTCCAATAAATAAATATATAATTATATTGATACTTAAAAGTGTTCCCCAATAGATAAATAGATAAATATATAAAAGGTGTTCAATATTGCATACAATTGTATGAAATGGTGTTTCCTAGTAGATTTAATTTTATAGTTACTATTCTTCGGAAAGTTTAATTCTATTTAGTATAATATTCATACTTAAAAGCGTTTTCCAATAAATAAATATATAATTATATTGATACTTAAAAGTGTTCCCCAATAGATAAATAGATAAATATATAAAAGCTGTTCAATATTACATACAATTGTATGAAATGGTGTTTCCTAGTAGATTTAATTTTATAGTTACTATTCTTCGGAAAGTTTAATTCTATTTAGTATAATATTCATACTTAAAAGCGTTTTCCAATAAATAAATATATAATTATATTGATACTTAAAAGTGTTCCCCAATAGATAAATATATAAAAGTTATTTTCTATTACATACAATTATTTAAGTTTATTTGTGTTTTTTTTGTGTTTTGTGGTTATTTACCACTGATGTACTATTTTGATGTATTACATTTATTTTTTGATAGTGGTGAACACTTTTTGCCAAATAATTATAAATTCCTAATTCGGCTTAAGTATTCCTTCGATATCTTGTCATTTGTGTGTACTTCGAGGTTTGCTGCTGGCTCCGCTACAAGACGAAAGGCTTTCTTAATTGAGAAATTATTTTGAGTCTAATTTTTATTTTTTATATAGATATATTTATGTTTTTATAAGATATAATAAGAATAATAATTATGTAAAAAATGAGAACTAGGTAATTTTTAACTATTCATAGCTCTTTTAGGTTTGCCGAGTATATAGATATTGGGTAATGGCCAAAAAAACATCTAATTCATATAAACACGACTGTATTTATCAAATAAATCAGAACGTGATGAAAGGCGTTTTATTCCATTTGTAATACGCCTCGCTCCATTTTGCGTAGGTCTCTTCCTTCGGGTTATCCACCACCTCCAAAGTGCGGTTGATGTTGAAGACGCGGAAGTTCTCCTTTTCCAGCTTCGGCCAGATGACGTTGCCCAGCAGGGCGTCAGGAGTGGGGGTGGGGTTCCTACGCAAAAAGTGACGAAAAGGACGTCCCTTCCACGGACCTAAATATACTCACAAGTATTTAGCGAAGTTGGTCCACAGCCTCACCATTCGCTTCAGCGTCAGCCGATCGGAATCGGACTGTTGCATTTGGGCGGCCATTTCGGTGTCGAACAGATAAAAGAGATCGTCAGCGTGGCCGCACATTCCTTCCGAACCTAATTTAGATAAGAATAAGTAAAAAAATAATAAAAGTAAAACCATATGTGATTCAGGAAACATTGGGGCACAGACAGCAGTTCAAAGCGAAAAGTATAAAAGTTTTTGACACTTGATCACTACATTCCTACTTAACGGTGTGCGCTAATAGATTTAATTACTACTTAAAAGGCATTTACTATTACATATTAATATATAATTATATTTTTTCTGAGTAGGCTAAGACTTAGTATAACTTTACTCCTACTTAAAAGGTGTGGCTACATGTAATTACAATAAATATAATTTTCTAATTATATTCTTACCTAAAAATTTAATTTCAGTTTCAGTTTAATTCAATTCAGTTCAATATCGTAACCCTTTTTTCCTAATTAAAAGGTGTTCCGAAGTAACAATATAAATAATTAAATAGGAATATAGATTCCCCCCTTAACACCACCCTAATAAACATAATTATATAATTATTATTCCTAGGATTTTTGTACTTAAAAGTGTTTCCATAGACATAATTATATTTTTACTTAATAGATATAATTGTATTATTTAAACACTGCACTGTGTACCACTCAAACCCAATTTTGATTTTATTCTTGCTGTTATTGTTTTGTTATTACTTGTCAGTTTTATCTTGGTCTTTGTACTACTTTAATCTATTACTTGATAGTAATGAATAGTTGTGCCTACTTCGCAAAGTAGGTAGTTCACCCTGCTGTGGCTTCCGAGTGTGAGATTTAAAGGCCACAAGGAAAAGGTGCCTTTGTTTGCATATGACAGATTTGGGAACAAGTTATTTTGTTATTTATCAAATAATTGTATTAAAAATGTTAAGTAGGTATTTTTTTAACTATTCATATTTCACTTTCGTTTTAAGTGTGTGTGCAACATAACTCACAACTTTCTCTCAGTGTATTAACCGTAAATGGTGGAAATCAAAGGTGCCGATGCTTTATATCGTTTCTGTGGGGTTCTGTGCTTCGGTATAATCGAAATCGAGCGATTTGACAACGTCGCCTTATCTCACTCACTCAATTTACTTGACATTCACCCTACCCAGGCAGTTTTTATATTTTTAAACAAAACTATGATTATAACGTGAGATGAGATTCATATACTTTCATAAAATTCATAAAAGAATATCTCAAAAATTGCCTTGACAGAATAATTGATGTTTAAATGTTCTTATCTTCTGTTGGGGTGTGTCGTAATGAAATGTTTTGTTTTTTGTATTTTTCATTCTTTGCATTGCTTTTTGTTGTTTTCTGTAGTATTCTCAACGTCATGAAACCACAGTTTATTATTATTTCAGGGCAGATTATTGAATATTAAACAAATAAAAACGTATTAATTACTTCATTATAGTGACGTAGTTGCTTTCTCGTAGCAGACGTCAATGGTCTAATTAGAAACAAACTATACATGCCTAGTTTTTAACTTTGAATTGGAATTTTTCCTTTTTAACGTCGAAAAAAGTCATAAAGGGAAACGGAATTACCTTGCAGGTCTTCATGCGGTAGATTAAGCGATCCTTTGTAAGAAAATTGATAAAAATACACATCGGCGTATTGTGACTGCATCTCTGCGTGCTTGATCACCCCTCTGTTGAACATGTCGTCGCTTCTGTACTAGAAAAGGGCAGAAAACGGCTGCGATATCATAAAGAGTTAGAATAAACGATAATACCGACGTTTCGACCTGCATTACATCATCATTAAGTGTCGTGGTATTATTACTATGTAATGATGTATTAATGTAATTAATGTATTAATGTAAATTAATGTAATAATGTATTACCATGTAATAATGTATTAATAACATAAAATAATAATAATAAATAGAGACAATACAACTCTGAATGATAATTTTTTATGGAAATGCAGATATACAGGATGGAAAATATTTGAAAATAAATATTTTCATGAACTTTGGCACACAGCACCAAGAGCAACCTTCTCTTATGATACATTTCTTTTTATATGAACCATTGGCGTTCCTGCAGGACCCGAGCTGCAGCGAGTTAACCTTCCGATTTTGATATTACTTTAATTTGTTTTTTTGTTTCTCAATTCGTAGTTAAGAATATCCGTCGAAACGTCAGAGCTAAAGTCTGTTCATAGATATAAGACAGCGACTAACTGACACGAATTAAGGAAAGCTGTAAGAATGAAATATGGCTCAACAGATCCGTACTTTGCTTATAATTTAATTATTTAGGGCTTTGTTAGGAAAGATACCAAATAATATTAATTTATTTTTATTACCTACTTAAATTACTTAAAATTATTCACATAATATATCAGTCTTACTATTGCTTTCATCGCCTGTTATTTGTGCTATATTATTTGCTATATGGATATACGATTGTTCTGCTTTTTCTATATGTTTGACAGAATTTGCGAAGGGATTTTAAAAACTTCGGTTTCTATAAGTTTGAGGACATTGGAGTTAACACGGGGAAAAACATTGTTACGACGAATGGCAGATTTCAATTGGTGCCAAACATTAAATATACAGTGATAAGGTGGAAGAATTTTAAAACTGTATGCCCTAAATTTTTTGCATAATTATCACAGACGTATTCTTTTTGTAGGTTCAAACTTTGTAGAACCTCAGTTAATTGCTTTTTGGTATAATCTTCGTGAAAATAAATGTCGTTATTATACATGTAGTTTTGGATTGTTGGTTTTGTGCCACATGAGGAAGGGGTTTTAGTCAACGTTCTACTGTGATAACTTGCATTGTCCATTACAATGACGCTATTAGGAGGAATGTTTGGAACTAGATTGTTTTTAAACCAACTTTCAAATAAATCATTTTTCGCAGACAGAGACACTCCATTTGGAATCCAACCATCTTTACAGCCAGCATGCAAAATAGGTATTCTTTTACCTCTATTTGATGGCGCGTTTGTTTTACACTTATCAGTTGAGTCAACACAACCCTTTTCCGGGGTATCATAAGTGTCGAACCAGGTTTCATCCAAATAAATAATTGGCCTTTGTTGTTCTCTGTAAATCCTAATTTTTCTTAGATATTCCAGTCGCCGTTTCCGAATTCTAAAAGATTCCATTAAAACTTGCCTTGTGTCATTTTTTTTTTTTTTAATCCATGTGTTGAATGCACTTCCATAAGGTAGTTCTGCCACATTTAACACCGGTTTCATCTTTTTCAAGTCTCATAATTAAGATATAAGATAAGATGCTTCTTTGCTGGCACCACGTTCAATGAGAGTCAAATAAACATTGTTTATAACTTCCTTAGTGTCAATAAAATAGTGTTTTCTACATTTGGGCGAGAGCATCTCCTGAGATACACTAGACTCTCACATATTTTGCATGATTCGCACACGATTCAACACACGCTGTATTACACACGAAATAAGAATGATTACTCATAAACTTTAACTAAGTAGTATACCAAACCAAAGAATATTAAACACAGGTAGGTATACAATTATTTTCTATTACGGACCTCAATTTTACCTGAATTTAAATTCCGAAATTTTAGGTAGCATTGTATGTTAATGACCACCCTTGGATAATCCCATTCAAAAGCAATTGGTCACTTTCTTATATCTATGAACAGAATATACTCTGTGTGAGTGTGACGTGGGATACCCTATCCATTAACGTGAATAATAATAATAATACAAGTTCTTCAGAACAATTAATTTTTCAATTCACAATAATTAACTAAAAAAAAAATTAAAACGTAGGAGCATACAGGATGGCCCGTATAATACGGTCCTTATAAGTTTCCGCGATTAGTGCGACACTGAGGTTCGTTGTGTCAGGACAGTAACCAACTTTTGTTTTTTCAATATTCATAAAAATTTGAGTATTGAGTATTTTTTGCATAGCGTACGAAATTTTGAGTAGAGGTTTTTCGAAAAAGGTGTTTTTTTTTACACTTGAAAACTAAAATCGGGAATAATAAAGAGAAAAGGTGCGCCCTTGTTTTCTGTTTCGTTCATAGAATATAGAATATTTTATTGAAACAAATCGATAGGCTTTGCCTCGGATGATGTGAATATAAACAAAATCCTGCAAAACGTATTGTATCGGATAATCCCATTCAAAAGCAATTGGTCACTTTCTTATATCTATGAACAGACCATACCCCTTTTCCAACCACCTAATCTAGGTAATACGTTCACTTACTTTAACCACAGCGTACAAATTGTCGCTGAAGGTGCCGTTGGGGACCAGATATATGTTTCTAATGTATTGCTGAATTTCCTTTCCGTCTGATGGGTTTTTGGGCTCGAAATCGTACGGGTAAATGTACCCGTCTTCGGAGTCGAGCCTCTCCGCTTCCGCTTTTATGATTTCGAGAGCTGAAACGACACTCTGCCGTGAAATTTGAAAATATTGGTGACGTCATTATCAACGTCGCAAAGTGATATTGATAAAAGCGGTGTACATGTCCTCAATTGGAAGTTTTTTGAAGTACTTAAATTTATTAATTTGTTGGTTTGTTAAAATTATTAATTATGTAAAAATAGTAAATCGTAATTTAGAAATTATTTGATATCAATTATAATAAACATTTATTTTCACAGCTCTATAACTTAAAAGCTGTTGGTCGATGAAAATGTACGCATAGGAACTTTTGTAGCAAAACGGAGAGAAAAAAAATATGGCCTAAAAATGAATAAATAAATAAGCAGTAATAATATTACTATTAATAATGGGTTCCTAGAAGCCTAGAATGTGCTTTCGTGTTGGCTGCATAGCTTCACAACTTACAATTCATAAACAGCAGCGACTCTTCCGACACGAGTCCCAGGATCATCGGCACTGTGTTGAAGGTCCCTTTCTGCATCGTCTCGTACGGGTTCTCGATCAAAAACGCCCCTTCGTGGTCCACCTCTATCGAAGGACTCGGCTGGCCCTAAAAGATAACATCGACCGTTTCCAAGCTTCGGGAAACCGAAACTTCCAATTTCACACTCACGTCCTCTTTCTCCAATACGGTGGCCAATACGAGGGAAGCGTTTATAATGGCGTCGGGCGTTTGAAGTTTGAGGAACTCCAAGAGCTGGGCTGAATCATGTGTGCTTTCCGATACGCTGCTGTCTAAGAGTGCCGCTAGTTGATAAGCGTATCGCCTAGGATGTCTGTTCACGGAGAATGGCGTCAGGCCTGATCCGCTCTGGCAAATTGCCGCTCTGAACAACCCTGGAAGTGATGGTTGGAAAGGTTTGTCATGACATCAATCTTCAATAAACTACATGGGTGATAGATGATTTACAAGTAGTCCTATCTGATGTCTTGGCAAGAGATTGATCGAGAGCAGCAAAAGATGGAAAAGACGAATTCGAAGAAACTGTATCTTTTTTAACAAAATTTATTAAAAAGGATATCTTTATCTGAGCTATAGGTCAGCGAGTCATTTTTATTTCTATTTACATTAATCTCCTAAGGGTAATTTGCTAACAAATCTTCTTTTCCGAAGACGTTAGGATCTTTGACGCGATGGACAACAGTAAGTAATTCCTACAGTCGCATTGAAGAAATTAACATCATTGGTTTTGCCCGATATGCCACTACCTACCTGCGGATTTCGGGCTCAGTACTTGTAGCCCACAGGCGCTGCCCCCGGCGCTCTCGCCAAATATCGTGATCTTCTCGGGGTCACCGCCAAAGCTGCCGATGTTGTCTTTGATCCATTGCAGGGCCAACACCTGGTCCTTCATGCCCGCGTTGCCAGGAACGACGAGATCTTCGGTGGACAACAAACCGTAGGGACCTAATCTGTACTGGAGGGTGGCCACCACTACTCCCTCAGCTACCAAAGAACTGGGGTTGTACATCGCGAGTTGGATGCTGCCGCTTACGTATCTTCCGCCGTGAATGAAAACCATCACAGCGTAATTTCCCTACGATAATTGTACGTTGTACCTACAAGCAGTCTAGGATTGGTATAATCAAAAATTCCGGGCTTGCTACGGTTTTGATTTAGTCCGTTAATTTTAACTTTTTTATTTGAGGTTTGGGAAAAAAGTCAAACGCTGAGGTTGCTCAAAATATAATAAGCTATTTGTAGGGTATTGCAGATTTTTTTTATCAATAAACTCTTCTTTTCGGCTTTCCGATAATTTTATTATGGAAAAATTGGGATTTTCTGCACCTCTTATTAAAGTCCTTAAATCACTATCATCATCTCTTTCCAAAGTTCTCTTCTTTCTGTCTAGGATGGATGTTTTTGCATTTCCAAAATTCATTGTTTTTCTCTTTCAGAATAAGGCATTTTATAATAAAAAGAACGTGTAGTTTTTCTAAATCTGTACGGGGTAACTATCAGTTACAAACATTTTTTTTAGTGACGACTTACTTCACAGCCACCTAAGATATTAATTATTAAGTTCTAGAATATTATCGTATTTTTGAATGTTGCTTTTTTTTCAAAGAGCTATATATCTCAGATTTGGGTATAGGACATATTGTACAAGAAATGTGCACAATTTTTAGGGGCCTTTGTGTATAATATACGGGGTTTCTGTTAAAAAATATATGTCTTTTATCGGTGACTGATTTTTGCAACGCATCTATCTGCACATACCTTGCAAATAGCTTATTAATTTTTGAACAACTTTTGTATTTGACGTTTTTTCCCAAACGTTAAATAATAAAGTTAAATGGGGACCGGAACATTATAAATAGTCACCCGGTATATGTTAGTTTCAAAGATTCAAAGGTGGTGTGTGAACTTTAAAGAGAGTAAAATTAGAATGTTCCATGTTTAAACGTAAGTTATTTTCAGTAATTAATATTTAAATCGAGATTACAATTAATTATGGTAAAATTTATACTGGCATCTAAGGAATTAAAATCCAAATCCAAAAACCCAGAATGATGATGCCTTTATATATGTGAATGAACGGTCCTATTGGTCGAAAATCAGATCTTACAAGTACAGGTGTCATTAGTTAAAATTTTATTCCATAGTTACGTCAAAAGTTAATACATTACCGGCGTTAGGCAGGATCTCTATTTTCCTAGTAGCTATTTATTTAGTTAAATAAACCAAAACAATTGATTATGGGCGTAGAAATGTCAACGTATCAGTTTTGAGATTTCAATCACATGGTTTGTGGTTTTCAACGGGATACGTGAAAAGAAGAAGAAGAAGAAGAAGAATGTTCTGTGGTCCGTGGCCGCGCGCGTTTTGACATTTTGAAGATCTCGCAAATTTTGATTTAAACTGTGCAGTGTAGGAAATGAACTACAGTCCTCATTGCCGTTATCGGTGCAGAAGTGCAGTTTTTGCTGACTTACCGAAGTGTTGGGACTGAAAACGTTTAAAAACAAACAGTCCTCGCTTTGGGCGTCCGCGTTGTCGAGAAAATCGTTAGCGATGCAGAATTTTCCTTCTTTGGTGGCGTCCAAAATCCCCTCCCAATCTTCCGTCGGATGGGTTTCCTAAATGAAAAATTGATTGCAAAAATAACCACTCAAGTCGCGTGGTTCTAGAATGTTCGAGGAGAGAGTATAGTGATAAAACGGGAAATTGCGTCCAGTTCGATTCAATTTAGGCGTCGACCATAGGCGTAGGTGCATTAAAATTATTTTTGATCCGGTACTACTTATGGATAACGAGGTTCTGATTTGTAACAATTAAAGTCATGTGTTAGTGACAAATGATAAGTTGATTATCATAGACTAGTGAAATAAATAATAAAACCAGACTGCCGTTCTGCATGGGGGTAATAATATAACAATTGTTAGTTATTGTATTAACTCATTAATTTGACTACACCTTTAAACTAAATTTTCCTTAAAATCAGATTTCTTTGACTTAACGATGCATTAAAAAAAAACACTTTTCGACAGTTTTTTATCTGGTAGGTAGTTTTGACCAACCCTGTAATTAGAGTTGAACTGAAGCTATAAACCGCATACCTCATAAAGTAGTATCTGATCTGAAAGTGTAGCTATAAGTTCTTCATTCGAATATTGGGTCTAAATGTATCATTTCCATTTCTAGTGCTACAAGGGTGATTTCGTATCTTTTGAATTTGTTTTGCCTGATATTGTAACGTACAGCTGCCTTATTATTGGTGGCACCAAAAATATGGCAAGGCAAAGACATAAACATTGCTGGCGAAGTTTTAATGGGAGGCCTGTGAACGAGTATGAAACATGCCTTCAGCAAAAGGGAATCTTCCATATTGGATGAGGCATTCTAAAAGAAGGTTCGCTAACCTACGCCATACTAGAGTTTACCACAAGGACATAAATTCCGAAACATTTCAAGGCCATTTAGGGGAAACGGTAAATAATCTTCAGGCTATCCTTCACGAGAGCAAACACTCCTCCTTCATCTTGGAGAAAACAAAAATAAATAAGGAACTATTACGTATACGAACCAGTAAAAAATTTGAAGCAACGCACAAGACGGCATTCAAAGCGAAACACCTTTGATACTTGTTCTAAGATGTTATTAAAGAGAAGTGGAAAATGTAGGAACTTGACTACTTGTTTTTCATTATAAACTCAATAGAAGGTTATAATTCTGGTAATTTCATTTCTGTGCGTGTATGTGCATGGATCTATATGTGACACTCTGCAGTCTCTTTGCCTAATTAGGTTTTATTACTCTAACGCTTTCCGAAATAGACTATAGTCTACTATTCGCCTCCCAGTGACATCTTCAGTTATTTTACCTGGAACCTTAGGTCGCCTAGCGGTGGTACTGCGTAGGGTATGCCCAGGAACGCCTCCACTGGCGGTTCGTTTCCAGTTTTCAGGGTTGTCCCTCGGATTTTTCCATTTTTCGTGGTGACTATCAATTCGGCAGCCTGTAACGCAGAAAAATAAAGCTCTCCTAATTTTTTTTGTTATCTATTCGTGTAAAAATTAAAATCTGTGACAATTTTACCGTTCGCAAGGTGTATTTCCCTGCATAACGAAAGATCGGTATAAGATATTATATCAGCCACTCGTTCTCTAGTGTTATTTTAACATTTCCATGTGTAAATACTCTAACCGATCGAGACAAGTTTGCTATTGAGTAGATATCGATAACAGTGTGACGCTTTATAAAGTATCGAGGTGATACCGAATTATATTATAAGGGAATTACATTCCTAAACATAGATATAGTAGGTACGAATTGTAATTGCATAGTCGGAAATAATAAAATACAATAAAATAGATTGTCCATCTTGCTTGATGTATAACAGATGTTGTTCCTCTCTAAATGTCTATCTGATCAATGCAAGACAAGTATACTGCAAGGCGTTGTACATTAAATAAGCGAGTTCCTCGGGATGTTAAAATTGTCCAAAGTAATTGTGAAATTGAGTTTTTGGTTAGTAACGATGAATATAAATTCTTAATTTATATAATTTATATATATTATAATTTTCAAAAATAATTATAAACAAAGCACAGCGCCATGAATTCAATTCAACTGTAAGTATTTTCACTAGACGATAGTCTTCCGCTAATATTACATAATTCAACAATAACATGATTCTAGAATTTGGCTTTCAGTATTTTGAAAATTTATAGTGTATCCAAAAGATATCAGCTACGTTGTACAGAAACTTCCCTGGACTACTTTGATATTTTCAGTAGATGTCATGCGCCCTCTGGGAAACTCTTGTGAAACTATCCCGCAATAATTACCAAGCTTTCCAAGACTTGCCCGAAAGTTACAATAATTTAACGTTTCCGTACAGTCTTGTCAATATTTCTGCTGATAACTAGTCGGAATTCAACTAGCCGCCAAATTCAAAAAAATTTCTTACCGAAAATGCCACCCAAAGGGCAAAAAGGCACACGAGCTGCCCATTCATTTTCCAAAAACACTACGATCCGATGATATTCACTTTCCGACTGAGTGTTTTGCGCGAGATCGGATCACTCGCGCTATCGCTCCCTTTCGAGTGTCGGCGATGACATACAATTTGTTAAAATTATCGAAAAAATTTTTTGACGAGAGACAACAAACAATAAGCAACGATTTCTGCGCTGCAAAATACACCTACGAGGTTCGTCACAGCGGATAAACCTAAATTACATTTTTTGCAATTTGGATGCTAAATAATCGCGTGTGATATGTGATTCTAACGCGTCACCCGCTTTAGACTTTAAGTACTTTGAACCACGCTTAAATTTGAAATTGTTTTCTGCAACTGCTAGATTGCTAGTTCATTGTTAACTGCAATTTTTATTTTATGCCACCTAGCTGCCATCTGAAATTGTAATTTTCAACCGATATTTTCAGCATTCTAGACGACGTACTCGATACTTTTCAACTTCCGAACGCAGAAATTGAATCTACGGCCACGGAAATTCATTAATTCCATTTCAAAGTAACGCGCGCCATCTACGAGAGGGTAGGCGAACTGACGGCGGACGCAGCGTACTTCCGATTCTTTAGGAAGTCGATTCTCTTAACACGACGCGCTGCCGCGAGGTGGCGCCACACATTTGAAAACAACCAAATTAAAATACGAAACATTCGATACTGCTTTTACTTTTATTGAATAATTACGCACACAAAACACTTTACGGCACTAAACTAGGCGGGGTGGCTACTCTTCCGCCGCACTGGCGTAATAACAAGCACGCACCGTCGCGTTCAAATCCTTCTCGCAGTTCGAATAGGACATACCTAGGCCGAACCCGGCGCCCATGAGGATTGGCCACCTGCGTCGCCTCAAAAACAGTACCGAAAACACGGACCCCATTAGAATTCCGCCGGCAAATTTGATGAGAGCGTCCGAGAAACACCTGTTCCATTTGCGTTCCAGCTCTTCTTCCACGTAGAGGGGGCTGGCAGACATTAATCTTACGAAACAGCACCACCGGGTCCGTCTAACGATAGTTTCTGGTACTTTCCGGCAACATTCGTGACAGTCGTTTGACAGGCTGTTAGCTGACGTTGACAATTGAATTCTCTTTGGATTTTAGGTCAATGTCGAGTCGCTTCGCGTCGCACCTGTTCACATTGAAGTAACACGAGCGCTTATATTTTGGTCTAGTCCTGCCATCTGGTGACTAACGTTTTCATAGGAAAGTTTGACATTTTGAGGTTAGGTTTACTCAGTTAGGTTAACTTAATCGGGAGCGTTTTCATGCAATAATTTTTTACAACTTAGACGTGGACTAACTCGACAACAATGCATCAATGGACATAATCCGACTTTTGGAGTTTAAACACCATCTCGGACTAGTGTTTATCGCTGGTTTTCGGACTTCAGTCGTGGTCGCAGTTTTCTTAAGGATGAATTTCGAGAAGATCGTTCAAAATCGGTGATTGTCCAAGAAAACATTGACGCAGTGCGGAAACTGATTTTGCAGGATCGTCATGTGACTTACCATGAGATTAAGGTATGGTCTGTTCATAGATATAAGAAAGTGACCAATTGCTTTTGAATGGGATTATCCAAGGATGGTCATTAACATACAATGCAACAAGATTATTACCTAAAATTTCGGAATTTAAATTCAGGTAAAATTGTGGTTCGTAATAGAAAATAATTTTATACCTATCTGTGTTTAATATTCTTTGGTTTGGTTAGACTTGGTATACTGCTTAGTTTAAGTTTATTGTGTGCGAATCTCGTATCTCGTGTCTCAGGAGGTGCTCCCGCCCAAATGTAGAAAACACTATTCTATTGAGACTAAGGAAGTTATAAACAATGTTTATTTGACTCTCATTGAACGTGGTGCCAGCAAGCAAGCATCGTTAGAAGAAACGGCCACATTGACGAAAATTCCAACATCAACTGTATGGAAAATTGTGAATAATCCCATTTCAGCGAAGAAAAAAAGAAGCGACGCTGACATTTTCTCGAATGTAGATGAAAGTGATCAAGATATAATACGGCGTAAGATTTACCAGTTATACGAGGAACAAGGCGTGCCTACATTAGATATCTTAATTAGGAGGCTTGAAAAAGATGAAACCGATGTTAAATGTGGCAGAACTACCTTATGGAAGTATATTCAACACATGGGTTTTAGATTTAAAAAAATTGACAAAAAGCAAGTTTTAATGGAATATTTTAGAATTCGGAATTGGCGACTGGAATATCTAGAAAAAAATAGGATTTACAGAGAACAACAAAAGCCAATTATTTACTTGGATGAAACCTGGTTCGACGCTTATGATACCCCGGAAAAGGGTTGGGTTGACTCAACTGATAAGTGTAAAACAAACGGGCCATCAAAAAGAGGTAAAAGAATAACTATTTTGCATGCTGGCTCTAAAGATGGTTGGATTCCAAATGGACTTGCTCTGTCTGCGAAAATTTTTTAAGATTCTTCTCTGGATTACCATAAAGGAACCACCGCTGATTTTTTTCAAAGTTGGTTTAAAAACAAACTAGTTCCAAACATTCCTCCTAATAGCGTCATTGTAATGGACAATGCAAGTTATCACAGTAGACAGTTGACTAAAACCCCTTTCTCATGTGACACAAAAGCCACAATCCAAAACTACATGTATAATAACGACATTTATTTTCACGAAGATTATACCAAAAAGCAATTAATTGAGGTTCTACAAAGCTTGAACCTACAAAAGGAATACGTCTGTGATAATTATGCAAAAAATCTAATGCATACAGTTTTAAGGGTTCCAGGGTATATTTAATCCCATTGAATAAGTTTGGCACCAACTGAAAACTGCAATTCGTCGTAACAATGTTTTTCCTCGTGTTAACTCCAATGTCCTCAAACTTATAAAAACCGAAGTTTTTAACATCCCCCCACAAAGTTGGGCAAATTCTGTTAAACATATAGAAAAAGCAGAACAATCGTATATCCATATTGCAAATAATATAGAACAAATAATAATTAGAACAGGCGATGATAGCGATAGTGATACTGATATATTATGTGAATAATTTGAAGTAATTTAAGTAGGTACTAAAAATAATTTGTAATTTTATTTTAGATTTACACACAAATACATACATAAATAAATAAATATTGTATAGTATCTTTCCTAACAAAACTGTGGTTTTGTCTTTCAAAATAAGACAAAGCCGTTCGTGCGCGAAGCACCTGGAAACAAATGGCTTGTTTCTTCAGGAAAACTGGCCACCTTGCAACTATTTCTTTGGTGAAGGGTAAAACAGTCAGTTCTGAATGGTACACAACCATTTGTTTGCCGAAATCCTTCGAAGATATTGGAATAACCAACCGCCAAAGAATCACGCTCCTGCTAGCTGTTACTGATCAGTGTAGATAACTTTTTGAGCATTAAAAACTTTGATTTGACGAGGCATCCACCATATAGTCCTCATTTAGCACCTAGTGACTTCTGTTTATTCCCATACATTAACAATAAATTACGTGGAAGAAGCGATTGATGCGTTTAAAAAGTATGTTTTGGAGGTGCCCGACTCGATGTGGGAAAAATGCTTTGATGACTGGTTTTATCGAAAGCAAATCAGTATTAACTATCAAATGTGATAGTTCCCGATCGTTTCTCTATTTAAATGCTAAAGGAATTCAAATGAAACGCCTTCTTTCTTCCTCTTTCTTCTTCTTAAAAAAGCTTTTATTTGGTTACCTATAAATTTGAAATATTTAAAAGAGTTGGCTCGACTTTTGAAATAGACGCTTGCACACTTTTCTCTATCAAGACTAACCAATATTATGATTGGCTTTGATTGCCACCGTTTTAAAGCATTTAGGAAAATGATATCAAGAAATAGTGTTTCCCGTTAATTCATCTACTAATTTTGGTATTGAGAACACAGAATTTAATATCATCAATTATAAGACCCCAAACGCTGCTGCAGTAAAAGGAAACGAGGAAAAAGAAACTTCGGCCCCGTTATAATTGAAGCAATAGAAGCAAATCTAAACTTTCAACAGTTAATCCATTCTGGGTACGGGAAGTGTAAAATCAACACTATTACTCACTTAGTGTTACTTTAAAGCTATTGGACTATATTTTCTTTGCAGAATTATTTACCTCAACTTCTTCAAGAAGTTGATGACATTGAGATCCAACAAAAGTTTGAGAAAATACACGAAAAAGACCTACCATGTGTGTCGAAGTAGGTGGCCATGTTGCTGAACATTTTTTGCCCCATCTTAATAAGAAATAAGATAGGTATTTTACGTTTATTTTCTTTTTCTTTAAAATTTGGCAGCTATTGTCTATGGCTCCAGCAAAGTTCTTTTTCCTATTCGTTTTTTAATCTTTATAGAACCCTCTTAGAGTCAATGGAGGTTAAATATTGGAAAAGTTAAAATAAACTGCAAAATATTAAAAATAAAGTTCTAGGTGTTTGTAATATGTTTAACAAAATGGAGATTTTTTATTTTTATTTTGAACACTTTGTAGCATCAAATTTAAATTCTGTTTCATGTATCTTTTACGTCATCTTCGAGAAACGCTATGGTAAGTGTGAATACTAGTACTTCTTTAGAAAAATTAACATATTTTTAGAACTACTAGGTTTAAGTTTACGTGTCATTGTTAATAAAAAAAGTTTAAGAATTAAAAAAAAAAAAAGTATTTTATTTAAAAAAAGTGTTTTATTCGTCATGCGTTTTTGAGACACCTTGTATACTTCACAATAATTTTAAATTGCGCATCCTAATCATCCTTATAACTTTTGCATATGTGTACCATTTTGTCATAACTTTTGAAACCAATGAGATCGTTGGTTCACCCTGTATGGTCAATAGTAATAATAATAAACCAATTATTAATTATCATAAAACAATTTAGCAACTTATAGAAACCATTTGATATTGAAATAATCTATCCAGACAATAATAATAATTCAGATAAAACTGATAATCAAAAAAAAAGTATTCACTTATCGGTATCTTTGAAAATCATCTTAACAATAAAAAAATGCCGAGGAATGGTTAAAATTTCATGAGAAGGAACAAGTTGATAGCCCTCAAAAGCACACGTCAATAAAGCAAAGAAAGAAAATACGTTTTGAAAGACAATGAAGTTAAAGAAGAAAGCAGGTTCATTTGTTATTCCTGTCTGATTTTTGGCTTCAATTGGCACTTTTTTGACTTACTTAACAAGTGTTTCTTTTTCGGCGACCTGGAAAAGCTTAGCAATGGTCGTAAACCAACTAAAATGCAGTTTTTTAAGATGAATTTAATTTATTTATTAACTAATATCTATAAGTTTGTAATTAAACACTGATTTTAGGAATTTGCCTAATTTTATTGCACATTAAATGGTCGACAAGAAAAAAATTTAAAAGGATAATTTGACAGAGGATAGATTTGGCCGAATTATCCTGGTAGTCGTGGCCATAGAAGAAGAAGAGGAAGAGAGCATAGGTAACCTAAAACGCTGTAGATTTCTAATCAGTTTTTTGAAACAATTTTTTTTTCCGTTCCGTAAAATAGTTATCTGGTAGATTTTAGAGAAAATCTTTGCCGAAAAACGGGCCCTCCGCACGCAATAAAACGTATAAGACGATCCGGACCGAATCTAAAGTAATTTCTAGGGTCGGATCTTTGCCGGTCGGGGATTTTCCAGATTTCTCCCAACGGTCATTCGATAATTTGCGGGAAATTGGATTCTCGCGATTCTCCGCGCACTCTCGGAATTTTAACGGGCGATTTTCGAGTGTGATCGCATTTCGAGGTTATGTTCGTTACAATCTCAGAAAGTATGACCACATTTCAAAGTGCCTCTCTGATTCGGGTTGGCTCAAGCTGGAGGACCGACATAAAGTTCAGTTAGCCACCTTTGTTTATTTGCTAAACTCCAATAAGACCCCGTCGTACTTCCTAGACACACTTCGGTAACTTTTCTTTAGCTATAACGCAGTTATATTATTTAATGAAATTCCTTATGCTATGACGTCCCTCCCCACAATAAAGTCCTTTAAAAATACGTAACTAGCAAAAACAAGTTTATGATGTGCGTCTATTTCTTGTGTGTTAAAGACAGTTTATTATTATTATTATTATTATTATTATTATTTTTAT